GTTTCCTTGCCACCCTGTGCTGCACAATCTAGGAAGGAGATTGTAAATGCCATTAGGACAGAGTCAAACAGATGGACACCTCACTAGGGAGAGCTCTCTCAGTTGTGTTAAACTAAAACTTTCTTTTGCCCAAGGTCACAGGCCTTAAGGACTCAGACTAGAATCTTCTTTCTTTGAGGGGTTTATTCTGAAGTTAGCTGGACTTCAGGGAATTAAGCAAGCAATCCAAGCCTGACCAGCTTCTTAGGTCCCTTTTCCCTCAGCCCCATCAAAGTTCCCTCTTGGCCTTGATAATATGAGGCAGTCTTCTCAGAAGTTAAAAAAAGGGTACCACAGTCTCTTACCACACATCACAGGAAGAAGAAAGTAAAATGGCAAGAAAAAAATCCAAACACGAACCCCAAAAGAATGTTCCACACAGATTCAACAGCTTTTAACTTCTTCACAGTTCCATACACCAATGTGACCCATCCAATATTTTTCTGGTTTGAACTTCTTAGTATGTATTTTATTTTTAAGATTTTGGCCATGTCTAAATATCACTCATCCTCTAGTGTCTTTCAGGTTTCTTTCAATTAATTCATTTTTTTCTTTGCTGTATTTATTTTTTCAATGTATGGATTTTAAAATATGATTTGCTGAATTTATTATAATGGAAAACTTCATCTCACCAGCACAAATGAGAAAGAAACAGTATCACATGTCGCAGACAAAGTAAATATTAGATATATATGAAGAAATATTACCTAAGGGGAGAACTCCTTCACAAAGACTTCTCATGCAAGTTTTCCTCAAAAAATCTTTGGAAGATGAGGCTTGATGCTCCTACTAGAAATTAGAACAGAGGGTTTATACTTCCCAGGTTTTCTTTCAGCTTCTCCTATAGGTTAACATTTCCCTGTGATTTTTCTCTCAGCATCTCCTATAGGTTAGAGTGATATTCTTTCAGCTCCCTCTATAGGATAGAGTATGGAGTTCTTGTCAATATTTTATTGAGTGACTATTCTATTTCCCATACAAGGCTAGCTGCTGGGGATCTAGAAGAAAAATTGGGGGGGGAAATTATCTAGTAATTGAGCAACAGTTTGGAAAGAAGATGAAAAGGAATTAGACATAAACTATATATGCTAATAGTCTACTTTTGAAAAGCCCTGTTTATCAAGCCATTACAAGTTTTTTGTTTATTCCACCTCAATGAAAGTACACTTATGAAGAAGTGTCACAGAGACTTTCTAATTATCAGTTGTAAAAGGAAATGAATGCTCAGTCCCCCCAATGGACCTGTGCAATACTCCTTCCTTAGCTTCACTGGTATGGCTACTTTCTGCAGTTTCTCTCCTACCTCTCTTGTCATCTTATCCCTTCTTCAGCCTGATCCCTGAATGTTGATACTTATCACAATTTCCCCCTTTGCCTTCTCCTTACAACCTCCCTGAGTAAAACCACGAGCACAACTTCCACTGACAGAAGATAAGACTTTGATTCCCTCTCTAGCTACATTTGTTATATTGGTGTGTGACTTGTATTTCTATAAAGGTACTTTGGTCTCTTCTGGTATACGTCCTAGTTCCCTCTCATTGCTCCATCCACCCCAAGTTTTTATTTCAGAATCAGCCTGTGAATCTTCTGAGGAACATTCTAGGACCACAGGACTGGCTCTCCCTATGTGCTCCCAACAGCCTCTAATTACAGCTTCTTTTTGTATTTTGTGTTTTTTCCCCTTTTTTGTGGTACTTAGACTTGAGCTAAGGGCCTTAATCATACTTATTAGATAAGCACTTTATTACTTGAGCCACACTCCAGATCTTTTGTGGTATTTTAAAATAGGGTCTTCCCTGCAGCCCAGGCTGGCCTCAAACCCCCAATCTTTTTGCTTCAGCCTCCTGAGTGTTGGGATTTTAGGTGTGTGCCACCATCACACCTGGCTCTAATCAGTGCTTCTAATGATCTACTATGCTTATATCCTTGAACACACAGACTTAATGTGCATGTATTCTTCCCAGCACTGGGCTCAATAAATATGTGACAAATACAGCAAATATCTAGCTAGGTATGGCAAAGCATATCATACCTGTAATCCCAGCACTTTGGAAGCAGAGGCAGTAGGATTGCAAGTCCTGGGCTTGCCCAATATGCTATATAGTAAGACCATATTTCAAAAAGAAAAAGAAAAACACAAAAAAGAAAATCCTGAGTTATAAACAAACAGAAGAAAAGAGGCTTAGAAGTGGTGGGGAGGACAAGGAATAGTTAAAATATGTAATTAATACTCTCTCCCTGTTTCTCTTCTGACTAGAGAATGCCCATGCAGCAGGGCAGCAGGCTCAGACCCAAGAAGTGGTCAGGACTGAGAAGACAGCGCAGGTGGTGGCTGGAAGGATAAGAAACTGGTTATATGTGAGAAAGGAATAATTACATTAGGATGAAGGAAACAAAGCTTCTATCAGACAAAAAAATGTACCATTGAATTAGGGTTTTTTTTTTGTGGTGCTTGGGTTTGAAGTCAGGACCTCATGTTTGCTGCACAGACACTTAACCACTTGTGCAACACTTCCAGTCTTTTATTTTTCATTAGTAAGACAGAGTCTTGCTATCTAGTCCAAGCTAGACTTGAATTCCCAATCTTTCAGCCACAGTTTCCTGAGCTAGAATTACATGCATGTACCACTATGCCAGGCAAAACCATGATATTTAATAAACAGATATAAACGTGTATATGCATATATATATATATATATATACATACTTATATGGTGTATGCATTTTTTCAGGCGTGCAGATGTTTTTAAACAATGATGCCACAGTAGCAAATCAACCATACCTTGGCTGGATTTTTAAATTGTTGTTTGTTTTCAGGTACTGGCAATTTAACTCAGGGCCTCTCATTTCCTAGGCAAGCACTCTAACATATAAACAGTATGAATCTGAGATACCCTGTTAGAAAGCTTAAAAAAGAAAGAAAAAGAAAAAACCCAAGAATTAATGAGGATATGTCAAAAGGACACCGGAGTAAGCTTAGACAACTCTCACCATAAAACTCAAATATCCAAACAATCATTGTAATCCTGGACCATGGCTTGTGTGGTAGAGTGCTTGACAGGCAACTGTAAGGCCCCGAGTTCAAGCCCCAATAATGCCCCCAAATAAAATATGTGATAAAATAATAAACAAAATATATGATTTTGTTATTATAACAAAATAATTATGACAATAGGTTAAAACCTACCACTAAAACAAGGGCTGATGGGTCCATGCAGATGGAAATATATGGTAGATAAGTTCTTTACAGTTGAATAACAACTAATAAATGTAGAAGGATGGAATTAATCACCAGTAGGTAACCATCAAAATACTGTAAGGCAAGAAAGATCAATGGATAGTAAAAGTTGTGAGAAAAAAATGAGGAAAGAAGGTATTTATATAATATATAGTCCCAAAGTGGCTACACAAAATATTTTATTAATTCATATAGAAGACTGAGCAGTGGAGAAATACGGTGCATACTATCTTAAATACAAGACCAAGGTTACCATCACTAATGACAGGACAAAGTGACACCATCAAATTCTTGACATGAGTCACTGAAAACCTAGATTCACTTCTGTAATATTTCTACCTCAAATGCATAACCAAAACTTAATGAGTAGAAAACAATAGGCAAACCTGAGCTAATAGGATTTTACAAAATAGCTGAAATTGGAGGCATTATTCAGTCTAGCAAAAGCCAAATCCCTGAGTTGTTCCCCAGTACTACTAAAAAAAGCTAATGAATTTTTTTAAAAGACAGACAATGGCTGATACTTTTTTTAACAATGTGAAAATCACAAAAGGCAAGGAAAGAAAACAAGGGATTTTCAGATGGAAGATTAAATACACATAATAACTAAGTGTAAAATAGGCGTCTGGAAGAAATGTTGGTCGAGAAAGCATGTTTTACTTTCTTTTGCTAAAGAATGATTGGATCTCAGGCAAGATTGGAAAGGCAGATGAAATGGCAGTTTTGTAGCAATATCAGTTTCCTAATTTTGATAGTTGTAATGTGGTTCTATAGAATGTCATTGTCTTTAGGTAATTAGACTGAAACATTTCAGGGGAATGGAATATAACATGCGCAAGTTATTCTAAGATGGCTCAGAACTTACTCTCAGATGGCACACACACACACACACACACACACACACACACACACACACACGCACACAGAGAAAGAAGAATAAAACAAGTATACTTAAATAGTAACAATTAGGGACCCTAAGTGCAGAACACATAGGAGTTCTTTGGGCTATGCTTGCAACTATTTGCAAGGATGAAATTATTTCAGAAAAAAAACTATTTTAAAGAAAAGTAGTCTTTTTTTGAAAAACAGAAAATAAAATGGAGTGTTTGTAAATTGAGCCTTTATTTTTTGCTTACTCGCCCCATCTTGTTCTAAAAATAAGTTATAGAGGCTTCATAAATATGTAAAAAATGGCAAGATAAAATAATTTGAGGGTTGAGTGTATGGCTCAAGTGGTAAGAAATATGCAATGACCCTGGCAAAAATCAAACTTCCATACTTGTACCAATTTTCAAGTACAAGTGTATAATATACTTAATAAGTTTTTGTCTGGAAATATTTTAGCACTGCGTCAAAGGGAATATGAAGATGGTTTATTTAAATAAAATAAATTAAATATATAAAATAGATAAAAATAAAAATAAATAAAATAAATAAATCTAAAGGAAGAAAAACACAGGAAGGAGAAGGCTGCAATAATTAGTACAGGAAAGCCTAGAAAGAACTGATTGGTGGACCTATGTATACCAAGTCCAGGAAGATTGTGAAATTGTACAACAGACTCTAAAAAATTGGACAGATTATGTGGACAGGCAAGAACAATGAGTTCTTTTGTGTGCTTGATACCCTTTTACTCAAAACTTTTTGCATTAGACAAAGAATGGAGGCAGAAAACAATCATCAATAAGAACAATAGAGACTTTCAAAAACACTAATTTTTATGTATGCATATATATTTTATTAAATTTTCACTCACAGTAGTTACACATAAGGCTGATTATTTCACAAAACTTTCTATTATCCCAAAAGCATTTATCATAAAACAGTGATTATATGTTTCAAGCAAAAACATTACCTATAGGAGCTTCATATCATTTCTTAATACTTATTTTAAATAGAAGTTTGAAGTAACACAATATTAGAATAGGAAGAGGGAAGTTTATAACCACTTTTCAAATATTAGTCTCTATATAAAAATAAAGGGATACTGTCAACAAAGCTTATATGTGGGTTAGTATATCTATGTGGACTTATTTCAAAGCAATCCCTGCACAAGCTTCACTTTCTACACCATTTAAACAATAAAAACTAAAAATGACCCTTGGGAAACAATAAAGTGAATCATCCTGCTTCTAAGTTCTCATACCACTGGAACAATTTCAATTTCCTGCCCTAGTTTTCCCTAACAGTGATTTTCGAAAACAAATTTAAAAGTCATCACGTTTCAGAGGTTATTTCTTAGCAGTCCTAAATTAGAACTCAAAAGTATCCCTTTAAGGCAAAAAAGACAGTAGAGTGAAGGTGGACAAATCTCTTGAAAGACAAAAACCCTCTATTATTGTCACAGAGGCAAAAACATCTGAAAATAGTTTTTTTTTAACAAATAGAATAGATATACTGGATACTACCAAAGAAGTTTGTCTTTAAAATGGCACATGAGAGGACAAGTTTCCTAATAGATACATATATGTTAAATGTGAAGGATTATGAACTTTGCACTGGGAAAACAACATGAGACCTAATGGCTGTTAGGGTGATGATTACAATATGAATAACACAACTGACTGCAATAGAACTACTGAAAGTTAAGTGCTACTCTCTAATGATTGAAAGAGAAGTTTCCATTCAAGCTGTACACAATCACTAGTGTGTGCATGCCTTCAAAGCGCATCCTCTTCCTTTAAATCTAAGGATCTTTCCTTCAAAAAACACAAATGCAGTGGTTTTCCTTTTCTTACATTCACTTAAAAATGGAATATTATGATCCTAGTGGGCATGTGTGCATATTAAATGTAATCCATCATGTCTGAACAGTAAATCTATTGCAACAGATGCTTTAGACAGTGTAATAAATAATAAATAGCATAACAACAGATCACTCGCAGATTTCTTAAATACCTTAGTCAGGAGTTTTCTCTGGGAAAATGAGAGAACACGTGGTACCTCATACTTTTAGCATATACACTACAGCTCACACAGCTTCTTAAAAACAGGATGCATAATATTATCTTTTTTGGGCTCCTACAAGCTTCCTTGCAGATATTAAGCTACTCTCTATAAGGCAGAAGAATAAGAGCTGCCTCTGGCAGCAACACAATAATCAAAACACAAATTACCACATGACAAAACAAACCCAATGACAAAAAGGAATCAGAAAAAAAGTAGCAAGCAAAATAGTATGTGGCAATCATATACATAAAGCCTCCTTTTCCACACTACCTTATAACAGACATCCCTTAGAGCACAATAGTGGACCACAGGCACCTAAACCACCATAACACCACCAGAGACACTGACAGCTCCATGGATGCTCACTTTTGTACACAGTGGTTTGGGGTGTAAATAACATTATTCGTTCATTTGTAGATGCTCCACACATCTGGTCAAGGCAGGAATTTCTTCTCCTTGATAACACCACCTAGAAATATCAACAATATTTTATATATTCCTTACAGCAATAGATTTGGGGAGAGAAATTGCAACTGTGGAAGCAAAGTTCTAAGAACTTTGCAAAGACTAATGCAGGCATCTTGTAAGTCCATTTACATTCTCAACACTAAAGCCAATCTTCAAGCAAAGAAGCAATAATGATAGTAATGGAAACGGTTATGTTTCTTTCCCTCTGTGAGAAATGGCAAGTAAGCAGCCCAAACAGGAAAGGGAAATGAAATAATGTACTTTAAGCTGATGCAGAAAAAACTAAAATTTAATATAATCAAAAGCAGTTTGTGTATTACCATGAAATAAAAGAGACTAGAAAGTATGTAGTCAACAAAGAACAAAAAAAATCTCTCAAGCAAGATAATTTCTGATCAACTCTTTCATATCACTGCTGGAGAAAGAGCTATTATTATTGTCGTTATAGATAATACACATTTGTGCCTCCCTTGAATATTTAGACTAAAAAATAGGTGCTCTTTGAGGCACAAATTTAAAAAATCCTCTAAGCACATCAAAAGTGAATACTGACATTTAGTCATCAAATACAAAATGAGATCAGCAAAAAGTAGACATTAGTAAAGTCACTACACTTGTAAAATTAAACTTTCCAGGAAAGAGATGCCAAAAAAATAATAATAAGAGCATCGCAATGGCTGACATCTGTCAAACTTCAATCCTCATTATGGATCAAAGTTCTCTGTGTTCCTCACTATTTTAAGTGGGAAACAGTAGCTAAAACACTGAATCAGAAATCGTTAGGTCACTTGGGTGAGAGATCATCCATCAAGATGGGCGAAGAGCATGGATTGGAGCATGCTACTGAAGACTCTGCGGGAGCGCTGACTGAAGCCAGTGAGTCTGAGGATAAGCCACTGCTGCTACTACTGCCATCCAAAATATCTGAACTGAAGACAAAGTAAAAAGAATTATAAGCAAATGCATCCATTAAGGGTAAACATAACATGCAATGATATGGTTTCAAGGACTCACACATTGGTAGAGCATTTGTAAATAATAATTAAAAAAAGCATAAAAGCAATAGCAATGAACTACATAATGTACTATATTGAAAAACCTGGGAAAGAATAGTCTCAGAAACCCAAAGTAAGACTCTCAAAGTCCTGCATTATTTGTGTCCCCCGGGAGACACCAGACTGTCCAACAAACAGTAAGCATTTCTCTTAATATTGCCTTATGCTAACTTTATGCTCAAGAGATTTTTATCTTATTTATCATCTTATTTTCCCATCAGGCTTGGAGTAAGAAGAATGGTTAGTTACTGAGGTACCCATTCTCTGGCTAGCTGAAACATACCATCAAGCATACTGCGTCATAATTCCTCTTCTCCAGAACAAAGTCCTTCAACTGCCCAACAGTTGACTACTTGCTCACTTCCAAGAAGCCTCCAATTCAGAGCTGCTCCTCTATTTACATACATTTTACATTCTTCTCATTTTATGAATTCCTTACACCATTAACTTTCTCACTGCTTTCAAATCCCAAAGATCTCTCTACTATCTTTAAAAGACTTCTTTTCTTAGACCCCTTCCATTTACCCACTCATTAAGTTTCTAAAATGAATGCTTTTACCCACAGTCCCAATATCCTCACGTCAATGGCCTCTTTAATCTCAACAACTGACTTCTGTTCTCATCTTTCCACTAAAACTTACCTGGGCATAAAGTGCCTCTATAACCAAGCCCAGGAATACCTTGTCCATTGAGCTCAGACACTCAGTGCTCCCAACAATCAAGCTGGCCTGCCTCATAAATCTGGTTTCACACTTAAGGTGCGAAACTCAAGGCCTTTGCAAATTGGCATCAAGTTGCCTTTCTGGTTTTGATTCCCAGTGATCTAACATACAAGATCTATGTTCTACAGTTGGCCTGAATTTACTCATTCACTTATTCTAATATTTACTAAATGCCTGCCAAGTGCAGGAAGTCTGCTGAGACTAGAAGGACAACAGTGTGAAGGACAGACATGGTCCCTGTCCTGATTGAATTTACAGGACAGTGGAGGAGACAAAACATTGGAATAATAATGCTAATAAGTAGATAATTACAATTTGTGATCCAAGTCATAAAGAAAAATAAAAGAGGCTATGAGAGTCTAACATGTGGGTAGCCAAAAGACAGGTTCCTGAGAAATGAGATTTATGCTGTGATCAGAATGAGTAGGCATTCACTAGGTTTGTGAGGAAGCAAGGGTAGTTCTAGGAATCAAAAGCAGGCAAATGTGTAGTACAGGGAGGAAAAACACAGTGAGAGACAAAGCTAGAGAAGTAGTCAAGCAGTTTAAGAATTTACACAGGCAAATTTTTCATTTTTGGAAATGGAAAAAAAAAAGCATAAATTGGAGAAGAACTTAGGAATCAGCAAGTATGGGTCCTAGCCTAATTTTGGTCACGAGCTCCTTTGCAGAAACCCATCCTGATCTAATATGCTCTAAATCTAAATGTTGAATCTTATGTTATTTTAGTTTCCAAGTTAATGTATTTCTAATGTTAAATAACCCGTGATACATATAGAAATCTCTGCATGCTAGCTACACTATCCTCATGAAATACAACTTTCCCCCCTTCTGCTTCTCTGCTCTTTTCTTTAAAAAAAAAAATAGCATTTCTTTCTTTTCCTGCAGTTCAAGGGATAGAATTCAGGGTCTCACACATGCTAGGTAAGAACTTTATCACTGAGGTACACCCCCAGCCCCAAATGTCATTTCTTTCTATTGACTGTGCATTGTTTCGGTGGAGACAGACTATAAATAGGCTTTGGAAAAGTTATATTCCACACTCCTTCTTCACTATGCTCACTGCTGTCAAATGCATCATTAATAATACCACTGTTAAGTAAGAAGTTTGGAAAATTTATCTGGCTCTGATATTTGTTCAACCAAATAGCTAAATAGGTCTAAAATATGAATTATTCAAATTACTGAAAGTTGCATAGATAATCCAAGACACTAGAAAATCAAAAAACCTTTCTATTTACCTTTGGAACATAGGTGCTTTTTCCTCTTGCACCTTTTGCCTAAACTAATATTAAAATGAATTTACTTTCCTAAAGCACATACTGGTTGGGCAGCAGCAAGACATTCTCTATGTTACTTGGCAAGGTAAAAAAACAGGCTTAGATTAAAATTTGGCTATCATGTAGATAATCTGAATTAAAGAATTCCTTTTTCCAACCACCAGACTTCTGGTGACCCCCTGGGTTGAAAAATTCCATTTGTAATAAGATCTGCTTGCTTGGGTGAATCCTATATTTACTCTAAAATACGATATGTGGTGTAGTTTTTTTCTCCTAAGACTGTTGATTGCTTGAAGAGGAAGAAAAACAGACAGGAATGCTACCAATTAGAAAAAAATGAACTTGAAAATATTTAGAAAAAATGAACTTGAAAATATTATTTCAGAATGTCTGTTATTACATATAAATGTATATTATTTTTGTTCTAACAGAAATAGAGCATACTTACATTTAGTATCCAATTAAAATTCAGAACTTAGGAAAACTTTAAGTAGACATTTGTACTAAACTGAAATCTAGTTTCTCTTGTAATTAATCTGGCAGGTTAACACATGGTAATAAAGCAGACTACATGTCACAAATCACCCCATTATTACAACCCTATAAAGCAAGACTTATGTTCGTGTGTGTGTGTGTGTGTGTGTGTGTGTGTCTGCATGTTGGTCCTGGGGCTTTAACTCAAGGCCTAGACTGTGTCTCTGAGCTTTTGTGCCCAAGACTAGCACCCTACCAGTTCAGCCACAGCTCCATTTTTTGGCTTTTTGGTGGTTAATTAGAGATAAGAGTCTTATGGACTTTCTTTCCCCAGGCTGGTTTTAAACCATGATCCTCAGATCTCAGCCTCCTGAGTAGCTAGGATTATAGACATGAGTCACCAGCACACAACTAAAATTTATGCATATTTTTAATCCACAAAGAGATTACCATAGTTTTCACAGTGATCACTACTAAACATCTCAAAACAACAAACTCTGGTCCAATTTGACTTTTTTTTTTTTTTGCTTAAGCTCTGATAGAGGTGCTAATGAGCCATACCAAGACCTAGACAATTCACACCAGACATGAGTACCTGAATCAAAAGTGAACTACTTCATTCAAGCCAAGGAAGCACTAATGAAACCTCACAATTAAAAGTGCTATGACTGAAAACATTATCCTCAGTTTAGGAAAATCAAAGGTGAAAGTATGAGCTGGCATTTAAACATTCTAAGGATAAAGCAACAACAAAACTCAGACTCATGCTACAACCACATCTGGCTGAGCCATGTTTTACCTTGTTCACTGAATAAGCTGGGTTGTATCAGATTAAGGCCAGGCAGGCAAATGCACTATAAACTAGCCACAGTCTAGGGCAGATTTTAGTATCAGGTACATCTGTGGGGCATCTCCACACCCCTCGTTAAGGGCTGAACTGGTACATGAGGCTCTCCATTTCTACTACCTTGCCTAAGCATTATCTTCTCAAATAACCTCTAATGTTGATTTATTTTGCAATATTTGGTATTGAACCCCAAAGCTCTGACCACAAGAGACAAGAAAACGCATGGGAGAAAATTTCCTTTTATGTAGAACAAACTTTATCACTTAACCTTTTATTTGATGTATTATAATGCAGATATATACAATTCTATTCCCAGTAGAATGAGGAACAGAGTAAGAGTTCCTTGATATGGAAAAAGAATCAAAGTACCACACAAGGTGCACTTCTGAGTTATGCTCAAACTTTTGAAGTTTACAAAGACAAAATGCAAAGACATAACTCCGGTATTGTAGTTCTTCCTCAGATCTAATTGGCAATCATCTCAGATTTTTAATTTAGTAAAAGAAAATGAAAATAAGAATTATGACCACTGGCAAAATCCAAGTGGATCCATATTCATATTTCAAGTTTAGTTTTTTCTTCAGAGATGTCAGATTTTCAAGATTATTATCTAGTACATAAACG